ATTCCAAACTCTGTTCCCTCCTGGGTGCTCCCAAAACCTGACAGAGATGTATTAACTCTTTCTCCATCCTAAATCCCACCCTGGGCAGGGGAATAAAACCCTTCATATCTCATAAACGACAGCAGGAAGCTCCAAAATCCTACTTCTCAGTGCTTTTCTGAGCACAGTTTGCATATTTAAATAGCCTCCTTCCACATGGAACCAGCAGAGCTTCATGTTCTCTCCTTTTTCCCCCACCAACCCCCTGAAGTCACAAATAAAATCAGGCTTTGCTGTTCAAACCCCAGGGGAAGGAGAGCCCCTTGCCCGAGAAGTTAACAGCCCAAATAATAACCTAAATTGCATTTAATTAATCAGCCACACACCCTAAAGTCATGACCCTTCCGAGGTGTTTTGGCTGTTTTTTACTTTAGTACCTCTGAGGAACTGAGCTAAGCCCAAAAAGTCTTTTGTTATTCTCCAGTTTTAGCATTTGGTGCTCAGAGCAAATCTTGGACAGTTGATTCATCTGAAAGAGGAATTTTTGTCTTTTTCCTTTTTATTTATTTTTTTATGATTTTTTTTTTCGTGGTACATGTCCACACTCCATTTTAAGGCACAGTTTAGACAGTGAGATAAATCCTAACTCAAAACTTTCCAGGGTTTTTTTTGGATGACCTCAAAGGAAGAACTGCCCTGATTCTCATATAGAATGAGTCATAGAATCATGGAATGGCCTGGGTTGGAAGGGACCTGAAAGATCATGGAATTCCAACCCCTGCCATGGGCAGGGACACTTTCCACTATTCCAGTGCTCCAAACACCATCCAACCCGGCCTGGAACACTTCCAGGATGGGGCAGCCACAGCTTCTCTGGAAAACATGATCCAGGGCCTCCCCACCCTCCCAGGGAACAATTCCTTCCCCATATCCCATCTAACCCTGTCCTCTGGCAGTGGGAAACCATTCCCCCTTGTCCCGTCACTCCACCCCTTCTCCAAAGTCCCTCTCCAGCTCTCTTGGGGCTGAAAGGGGTTGGAAGGGTCTCTCAGGTCTCCCTGGAGCCTTCTCTTCTCCAAGCTGAACAATCCCAGCTCTCCCAGCCTGGCTCCAGAGCAGAGGGGCTCCAACCCCAGGTCACATTTGCACTGGGTAAGTCACATCATGTTCATCAGTTGAACAAGGGCCTCATGCTCTTCAAAATATCCCAACAACTCCAACTTTAGGGCAGGCAGGGATGGATCTGCAGCTCTAAGCTCAGCTTTTGGCAAGGTTGAGTGCTCAGTTGAGCTCTTAGGAACTGTGGGACTTCTCTGTGGACGGTCAGCTCCCAGGTCATGGGCTGCTTCCCAAGGATCCTTGGGGCAGAACTTCTCAGTAAAACCTTTAGTTATCCCAGGATCCCTCTGAAGTCCACAGGGATAGTTGGTGCCACTCAGACTTCAGGTGCCATGAGGTCCACCTTGACCTCACCTGCTCAGCTGGGATGAGAAAAGCTGAGCCTAATCCTGCTGTCAGAGGCTCCGGGTGGCAGCTGCTGTGTCCCACTGATGGAAGGACTGTAGGATACATTTGCAGTTAGGGGGGAGTGTTGATCTGCTGGAAGGCAGGAGGGCTCTGCAGAGGGACCTGGACAAGCTGGATCCATGGGCTGATTCCAACGGGATGAGGTTCAACAAGGCCAAGTGCCGGGTCCTGCACTTTGGCCACAACAACCCCCGGCAGCTCCAGGCTGGGACAGAGTGGCTGGAGAGCAGCCAGGCAGGAAGGGAGCTGGGAGTTTGGATGGCCAGGAAGCTGAACAGGAGCCAGAGTGTGCCCAGGTGGCCAAGAAGGCCAATGGATCCTGGCCTGGATCAGGAACAGTGTGGCCAACAGGTCCAAGGAAGTGATTCTTCCCCTGGACTCAGCGCTGGTGAGGCCTCACCTGGAGTGCTGTGTCCAGTTCTGGGCCCCTCAGTTCAGGAAGGACATGGAGGGGCTGGAGCAGGTGCAGAGAAGAGCAACGAGGCTGGGGAAGGGTCTGGAGCACAAGTGCTGTGAGGAGAGGCTGAGGGAGCTGGGGGGGCTGAGCCTGGAGAAGAGGAGGCTCAGGGGAGACCTCCTCACTCTCTGCAACTCCCTGCCAGGAGGGGGGAGCCAGGGGGGTCTGGATCTGCTCCCAGGAACCAGCAGTAGGACAAGAGGGCTTGGTCTCAAGCTGTGCCAGGGGAGGTTTAGGTTGGATATTGGGAAGAAGTTCTCTCCAGAGAGAGTGATCAGCCCTTGGAATGGGCTGATCCACCCATTGGAATGGGCTGAAACCACCAGGAAGTGGTGGTTTCTCTCTCTCTGGAGGTGTTTAAGGTGAGACTGGATGTGGCATCAGTGCCATGGGCTGGGAACCACAGAGGGATTGGATCAAGGATTGGACTGGATGATCTCGGAGGTCCCTTCCAACGCATCTAATTCAATGATTCTATGTTTCTATAATATCTTAATGCTGGTATGGGTGGTTTTCATGCTACTCTGGGCTCTGCACTAAAGTGTTTGTCACCTTTACAGCCCCACAGGAGCTCTGTGTTCCTGGCACAGTGCTTCTCCACCTCCGAGAACTCTGCACTGCAGCACAAACCCGCCTTAATGCCTTTAAGCCTGGAATAGTTGAGGCAGGATTATTGCTCCCAGGGCATGCAAATAATAATCCTTTCTTTCCCTCATCTCGTAGCTGCCATGTAATTTAGGAAATTATTCTTCAGGGCTGGCAAAGTCTTTTGTTCTCTGCCTCTGCCACAAAGAGCTCTGGCTGTCAGATCCCAGAGTGCTTTCCAAAGGATTCCAGAGGACTTTTCCCAATTTTCTGAGGGTTGAAACTGAGACATGAGGATAAAAATTGCCTCGTCCTCGTGCCAGACATTGGCAGAGCGAGGGACAAAGCAGATTAGTCCATGTATTAAAATAAGTTTGAGCAGTCTGGCCTAGTGGAAGGTGTCCCTGTCCATGGCAGAGGGGCTGGAATTAGGGGATATTTCAAGTCCCTTCCAACCCAAACCATTCTATGATGCTATGAAAAACAAAGCAACAGCAAAAGCACTCCATGGGAATGAAAATTGTGACAGAAAAAAACCAGTTAAACCTAAATTTCCTGGGCTTCAGGGTTTTGTGTGTGTGTGTGTGTTTGGTTGTTTGGGGATGTGTATTTTGGTTTGGGGCTTATTTTTTTTGTTTGTTTGTTTTTCTTTAGGGTCTTTTCGGGGTTTTTTTTGGTTAATTGGTTGGTTGGCTGTGGGGTTTTTTGGGGTTTTTTTTTGGTATTTCTTTTTTTGTTGTTCTGTTTTTTGGGTTTTTTTGGTTGTTTTTCGAGTTTTGGGGGAGGGTTGTTTTGGGGGTTTTCTTTGTTTTATTGGGTTGGGTTGGGTTTTTTTAGTGTTTTATTTTGGGATTTTTGAGGGTTTGTCGGTTTGTTTTGTGGGGTTTGCTTGTGTGTTTTTGTTGTTTTGGTTTTGGTTTAGGTTTTTTTGCTTGTTTGTTTTGTGGGTTTTGCTTGTGGTTTTTTGGTTTTATTGAGGCTTTTTTTGTTATTTGTTTGTTTTGTTTTGTTTTGTTTTTGTTTGGTTTGGTTTTTTTCCGCAGGAAAGAATTTTAACCTCCTGCTGATAGATTCCCATTCTTTTATCTGTCTGGTCTTTCTCCTGCATCTCCTGGGCAGTGAGACACAGCTCCGGTGCTGTGCGGTCAGGGGGGATGTGTGTGGATCGATCCCTGGGTGTGGATCGATCCCTGTGTGTGGATCGATCCCTGCCAGCGCTCCTGGTGGGAAAGGTGGGGAGAGGCACTCACAAGGATGGGGGAGAAGGGCGGCAGCAGCAAATCGGGACTGAAAAAATTCAGAGAAAAAAGGCAGAAACCACTGGAATAAAAGGAATAAAATCCGAACTGAAGGGCACCGACAGCGCCGTGTTAGTGGGGGACTCGGGAAAAGGTTGTTCTTGGGATCTGCCAGGAGCTGATTGATGGACGTGGGGACATGAAGAGGGGGAGAGGAGGGAGCTGAATGTGTGCTGGGGGCTGGCGAGGCGCTGCCAGGGCGGCCGCCCCCGCTCCTGCCGCCCACCCGGCGCAGTTATTCATCCCACTCCTGCCCTCGCAGCTCCCCGGGAGCACGGGGCAGCTTTAACCCTTCCTTAGGGCAGGCTTAACCCTTCTTTGGGGCAGGTTTAACCCTTCTTCGGGACAGGTTTAACTCTTCTCTGAGCCAAATTCAGGGAAACTCAGGTTTCCTGAAATTCAGGTTTTGGCACAGAGGGTTGAGTCAAAGTTGTTCCAACCAGGAGAGCACCAAGTCGTTGGGAGGAGGAGGAGGAGGGAAATAAGCCACTCCCACCCCCTCTGTGATGCTCTCGGGGGATTTCTTTATGTCCTGCAGTGTGAACATGGGGCCTGACTGACACCAGTGGGGCCCTTTCCTTTGTTTTCCCATGGCTGGATCAGGTTCCAAAGGAATTTCATTGTGGTTGCCACCTTATGCTGGACTTTTAGAGGTGAGCAAGCCCAGATGTCACTGGCACCTCCACGAGAACATCTGGCAGGGCAGATCTGTGCTGAAACCTCTTCCCCTCTCTGATTGAACAGAAATCACAGGATCGTAAATTCACAGAATGGTTTGGGTTGGAAGGGACCTTAAAAATCAGGTAGTTCCAACCCCACTGCCATGGGCAGGGACACCTCCCACTATTCCAGGTTGCTCCAAGTCCCATCCAACCTGGCCTTGGACACTTCCAGGGATGGGGCAACCACAGCTTCTCTGGGCAACCTGTGCCAGGGCCTCACTACCCTCACAGGGAAGAGTTTCTTCCCAATATCCCATTTAATCTTGCCTTCTGTCAGTGGGAAACCATTCCCTCTTCTCCTGACACTCCATGTCCTTGTTCAAAGTCCCTCTCCAGCTCTCCTGGAGCCCCTTTAGGCACTGGAAGGGAGAGCTTAGGGTATCCCTGGAGACTGCTCTTCTCCAGTCTGAACAATCCCAGCTCTCTCTATCTTCATAAATAGATCTATTATGTCCAAACCACCTCCAAGGAATAGTTCCTGACCCTGTTATCCCCTGAACTGTGCCTGGGCATTGTCTGAAGGACACAGGTTGACACATTTAAACACTGTGGACGGGCACTGAGCATCAAACAAGCCCCGGCACTGCCTTTATTCCCATTTCCAGCACACCTGTTAAACCAGGACTGTGGAACCAGGTCAGAACATTGTTCAGTAGAGCTGCTGGAACGCTGAGCCTGTGCCATCCTGCTGCTCCCTGAGCCACCCTGCTGCTCCCTGTGCCACCCTGCTGATCCCTGTGCCATCCTACTGCTCTCTCTGTCATCCTGCTGCTCCCTGTGTCACCCCGCTTCTCCCTGTGCCACTCTCCTGCTCTCTGTGCCACCCTGCTGCTCCCTGAGCCACCCTGCTGCTCCCTGTGCCATCCCGCTGCTCTCTGTGCCACCCTGTTCTCCCTGTGCCATCCTGCTGCTCTCTGTGCCATCGTGCTGTTCCTTGTGCCATCCTGCTGCTCTCTGTGCCATCGTGCTGTTCCTTGCGCCAGCCTGCTGCTCTCTGTGCCACCCTGCTTCTCCGTGTGCCACCCTGCTGCTCCCTGTGCGACTCTCCTGCTCTCTGTGCCACTCCGCTTCTCCCTGTGCCATCTGGCTCCTCCCTGTGCCACCTTACTTCTCTCTGTGCCACCTTGCTGTTCTTTGTGACATCCTGCTGCTCTCTGTGCCATCTGGCTGATTCCTGAGTCGCCCTGCTGCTCCCTGAGCCACCCTGCTACTCCCTGTGCCATCCTGAAGTTCCCTGTGCCATCCTGCTTCTCCCTGTGCCACTCTCCTGCTTTCTGTGCCATCCCACTTCTCCCTGTGCCACTCTCCTGCTCCCTGTACTGTCTTGCTGCTCTCTGTGCCACCCTGCTGCTCCCTGTGCCATCCTGCTGCTCTCTGTGCCATCGTGCTGTTCCTTGTGCCACCCTGCTGCTCTTTGTGCCATCCTACTGCTCCCTGTGCCACCCTGCTGCTCTCTGTCCACCTTGCTGCTCCCTGTGCCACCCTGCTGCTCCCTGTGCCACCCTGCTTCTCTCTGCCTCAGGTTTGGTGTCTCTGCTCTGGCATTTCCTCCTGCCCTAGGGCTCCAGCCTCATTCCAGGGGTTGGTTGATGAGTTCAGACCCACCAACAGGAGTTATCCCAGCCAGGGTGTGCAAACTCCTCGGAAACCTGAGGGCAATACCCGGGATGTGGTTTTACAACTGCCCAAGATCCATTTCCAGGGCAAAATGAGGCCCAAGACAGAGCAAATGGGAGAGAATTGAATCCTGCACATGGACCATGAAGGGAGTTCTGACCTACTTTGATCCAATTTGGGGGCCGGGAGGCCTAATTTAGATGCATGCAAAGGTAGTCAGGAGTAAAAGGCTAATTTTAGCTGGAGCATCCTTGGGCCACAAGATGCTGCCTGAGGGGATCAGGTCTGCAAAGGTCCCTCCTGGGTGAGCAGCTGTTCCATTTGTGGGGTTATCTTTGGGTGGTGGCTCTTGACAGAGGCATTTTCCCATCAGGATATGGTGTCTCTTCAAGGCTAAAGAAGGTGATGATGCTTTTGACTCATTATTCACATCCTGAGCAGGGAATTCATCTCCTGGGAGTGCTGCAGGATCTGAAAACTTGATGTGCAGAGCACCACCAGAATGAAGGGCAGAAAGAAGAGTCTCTGCCCTGCTATGGGGAAGAGACTGGACGGTGACCTTGAGAAACTGGGAGTCAAAGCTTTGCTTCTCACTTTTTTATTTTGAAAACTGGTAACTTGTGTTTTGTTTTGTCTCTGTTGTTTGCCTAAAGGTCTCCATGAATCAGGAATTAGTCAGGAAGGGTCAGAGAAGCAAAGCCAAAGCACAGTTACTCAGTTTAGAACTCTTTGGGGTATCTGCACATTGAATACTTTAATTTTAAAAAGGTAAGAGTGGGAGGGTTCAGGAAAGGGCACTAAGATTCATCAAAGATCGTGGAATTGGAGAATATCCCGAGCTGTAAGGGACCCACAAGGATGTCATTGACTCATTTAGGTTGGAGAGGACCTCCAAGGTCGTTGAGTCCAAGCTTTGATCCATCACCACCTCATCATCCTGCCCAGAGCACTGAGTGGCACATCCAGTCATTCCTTGGACACCTCCAGGAGTGAATCATCAAGTCCAACTCCCAAAACCCTGCTGAAGCCCGGGATTGAACCAGGGACCTTTAGATCTTCAGTCTAACGCTCTCCCAGCTGAGCTACTTCAGCCCTGAAGTGTGGATCCCTTTCCCTGTGAGGAACAGGCAGACCCACCAGGACAGCCTGAAAAAAGGCACTTTTTAGGGAGAGAGCTTGTTTCAAGGTCTGTTGTGATTCAGACTGAAATGAACTCTTTTGATAAGGTGTTATTTCTTGTGCCAAATAACAGGTTTGATTTCCTGCACAGCCAAATACCTGTGGGTCGACCTTCCCACCTCTTCTCAGGGCAGTCCAGGACACAGGACTGGGAAAAAACAGTTGAAGGAACTAAAGAAAAATCCCTTTCTATCACTATTTTTGCTGATGCCTTTGAATTAAAAACCATGTCCCTGTTTCACAGACTCAGACTGGTTGAGGTCAGAAGGGATCTCATGGAGATCAAACCCCTGCTCAGGCAGGAACACCTCCAGCCAGTTGTCCAGGATCACATCCAGGTGGCTTTCAAATATGGCAAAGAATGGGAACTCCACCTCTCAGGGCAACCAGTCCCAGCTTTCTCATCCCCTCCTCACAGGAGAGATGCTCCAGTCCCTTCATCCTCCTCCCAACCCTTTGCTGGCCTCTCTCCCGCCTGTCCATGTCTCTGTTGTACTGGAATCCCAGCCCTGGGCACCCAAAAGGGCAGGAAAACCCTGCTTAAGCCCGGGATTGAACCAGGGACCTTTAGATCTTCAGTCTAACACTCTCCCAGCTGAGCTACTTCAGCCCTGCTGGGGCTGCCATTGGCACAAACCCCCTTGGAACGGGAAGAGCTTTCAACTTTTTGTGGCTCCAACTGGCTCAGGGGACACTTGGCTCTTGTTCTGTCCCTGGGGACGACTGAGGGGTCCCTGGGGACCACCTTCTCAAACAGCACCAGGCACTCAGGGAAATCAAATGTGCCTACCCAGGTCAGGCTGATGGTCCTTCTAGAGCAGTTCCCTGCCTGTGGAAAAGGCCCAGGGAGATGTTCCATGGGAGATGATGGGAGTGTGGCTGAAGTTCATCCCCTTTGTGCCGTATTCAAGGAGTTGGAAGGGGCATGTCCTGTTCTGTCTGTTCACATCTGTGTCTGGATGCTTAAACCATGGAATGGTTTGTGTTGGAAGGGACCTGAAAGATCATCTCTTTCCAAGCCCCTGCCATGGGCAGGGACACCTTCCGCTAGCCCAAGCGTTGCTCCAAGCCCTGTTCAACCTGGTCTTGGACACTTCCAGGGATGGGGCAGCCACAGCTTCTTTGGGAAACCTGTGCCAGGGCCTCCCCACCCTCACAGGGAAGAATTTCTTCCTAATATCCCATCCAATCTTGCCCTCTGGCAGTGGGAAACCATTCCCCCTTGTCCTGTCACTCCAGGGACTTGTCCCAGGTCCCTCTCCAGTTCTCCTGGAGCCCCTTTAGGCCCTGGAAGGGGCTCTCAGGTCTCCCTGGAGCCTTCTTTTCTCCAGGTGGACACCCCCAGCTCTCCCAGCCTGGCTCTAGAACAGAGGGGCTCCAGCCCTTGGAGCATCTCCGTGGCCTCCTCTGGACTCCCTCCAGCAGCTCCACCTCCTTCTGATATTGGTAGCTCAGAGTTTCCTCAGGGTCTGGACTAACCTGTCACTCCACAGAGCTCCCATCATCCATGTCCAGTTGGCTCTGAGTGGGTGACAAGGACCCATCTGCAGGTTCTCCCTGGGAAAGGGACATCTGCCAGGTCGGCCTGTGTGGGATCCTGGCTCCCTTGGGACGCAGCTCCACCCTTCCAGCTGTCCCATTTCTGCCTCGCCAGCTTTCTCCTTGTCAAGGAAAGCAGAAACCAAAGCTGTTCTGCTTCTCACCAGCTTTCCTCAGACAGGAGGAAATGCTCCCAACATGGAAACTGTGGTATTTGCCAGCCCACTCTGCCTAGCTGGAAATATTCAGCTGGGTGCAAAATTCCCACTGAATTTGTACCAGTTTGCACATGCTTGCAGTGTTGGTGGAAAGGATAAAGAACAAGCCTTGAAGGAAGTGCTACCTTGTAGTTAAATTAGGAATTGGAGGAGCTGACTTGCTGGGAACTTGGATTATTCAGCTGGTGAAACAGAATTTCAGAACTGAAACTCTGCGAGCAAAGTCATGAGAAGTCAGACTTGTGTTGCCTGTTGAACACGTCACATGGAAGGAGTTGGAAGCTGAGATTTTTCCTTATGGAAGAGGAAGAAATTAAACCTGTTTTTCTGGCTCTATTCAGACCTGAGGGCTGGAATTCCATGGGCAGCTCTGCTGTGGGGAGAACAAAGTGGGAGCAGGAGTGACCTTGAGATGTCTGCTCTGGCTGCCCTGTGGGCAGGTCAAACTTGGATCTTTTAGCAGATGCTGCTTTTTTTTGAGCCATGTTCAGCTCAGCATTCCACTGGGAAAAGCAGAGATTTGGGAAAACTGTCCTCACAACCTCTCCACTGTCATGGCAGAGACACAGATGGATACCGTGATTCCCTGCTGGAAAACGTCCCATCCCCATGACACTTATTTCCCTCCCTGTTTCCATCTCTGCCCCCACTTTAACCATATGGTAAAACCTTTTCTAATAGGTGGCCTTGTGCTTCATCTTTGATTTTCTTTGGGTGTTTTCTTTGGGTCACTTGTGTGTCCTTTGCACCCCAGGGGTCTGTAGAGTGTGGTTTTTTTTTTTTTTTTTTTTTTTTTTTTTTTTTTTTTTTGGTGTCCTCATCCCAGAAAGGATGTGAAAAAAAACCTAAATTAATCGGTGGGAAAGATTAATAAAGTCACTTCTGCACAGGAAATTGCTGTGTAAACCATGTTTACCCAGTCAGGAAAAGGAAGGAGTGAAAGGATATTATAGGAACTAGAGAAAGGAAGGATATTATAGGATCTAGGGAGTAGTTGTTAGGGGTTGATTGCTTATTGATTCTTCTGATGTAGGAACTAAGGATTATCAGTGGGAATGAGCAAGTGCCAAGCCTGGAACAAAGAAAAATAAGGAATTACTTCACCCAGTGTCTGGTTATCTGTGCAACTCCCAGCCCCAGGGTATTACAGAGCACAAACATTCAAATGATGACTGGGAAGATTTATGGAAGAAAAAACTCCACAAAGAGTGTATAAATATGGAACCACCTGGTTTGTGTCCTGAGCCACAAGCCTCTGGAGACTGGGAGAGTATCTGGTGATACAACACTACATTATTTCTTCCTTTGTAGGTGTTAACTCCTGGAAAATATTGCAGGCTGGGTTTTGAGCTGGATGTTGTTCTGGACATCTCTGGCACCTCCTCATCCTCACGCTCTGGATTCCTGAGGCATCAGGGAAGTGTCAGCCTGTTAAACCCTGCTGGCATTCGGGCAGAGCTGAGCCGGAGGTGACATTTCCCACCATCACCCAGCTCTTTCATCACCACTCCCACTCAGGTACTCGAGGCTTTGTCCATGACAGGCAGTTGACAGGAGATCCCTCTGTCCTTGCTTTCCCTCCCCCTGTTCTTCCCGTTTTCCTGCCACTCCGGGCTGCTCTGCCTGTGCTTTGTGAAATGTCCATCTGCCCTGAGTCAGGGAAGCAGCTTTCCAAGGTTATGGAATTACATCCACGCAAACCAGAAATCCAGTTGTATCCTGGGATGCATCAAGAGAAACATGGGCAGCAGGGGAGGGCGGGATTCTGCCCCTCTGCCCCCTCAGGTGAGACCCCACCTGCAGAGCTGCCTCCAGCCCTGGGGAACAGCACAGGAAGGACATGGAGCTGCTGGAGAGAGTCCAGAGGAGGCACCAGGATGATCAGAGGGATGGAGCAACTCTGCTGGGAGGAAAGGCTGGGAGAGCTGGAGTTGTTCAGCCTGGAGAAGGCTTTGGGATGACCTGAATGTGGCCTTTCAGCACCTGAAGGGTAATGCAAGACAGATGAAGAGAGACTTTATAAGGGCCTGGAGTGACAGGACAAGGGGGAATGGCTTCAAATGGAATGAGAGTAACTTTAGATGGGATATTGGAAAAAAATTCTTGGCTGTGAGGGTGGTGAGGCCCTGGCACAGGCTGCCCAGAGAAGCTATGACTGCCTCATCCCTGGAAGTGTCCAAGGCCAGGTTGGACGGGGCTTGGAGTGACCTGGTCTAGTGGAAAGTGTCCCTGCCCATGGCAGGGGGTTGGAACACGGTGATCTTTCAGGTCCCTTCCAACCCAAACCATCCTGGAATCCCATGAAATCTCCCACCAAATGCTCATCCCAACAGCCAAGGAGCCTGTCCAGATCCACATCCAGACCTCTGTGGGCCATGTGGATTCACCAGCCCTGCTGAGTGCACTCCTTTCTCACGGGGTCAATGCAGCACCTGGAGCTGCAGACAGGTCACCTTTTCCACCCAACTCAGCACATCTGATTTGTCTCCAACCTTAGTTTTCCTTAGAGACATCCTGGTCCCAAACTGTGTCACAGGTGGGATTTTGTCCTATTTCCCCACTCTTTCTCCAGCCATCTGCACCAGGGGAGTGCCATCCACTGCAGGGTTGGGATGTTATTGCTCCTCACATTCTCACTTGGCTCTGATGTGTCAAATAAGGTCCATGTTCCTCCTTTAGGCTTCTGGAAATTTTTCTGTCTCATTACACTAAGTGAGCTCCTGCTTTACTTGAAAAGCATTTTTAGTGATTATCTCTATTTTCCTGTCGCTATTTTCTTTTTTTTTTTGTTCTTTCCCCAAACTTCTCCAAAAATGATCTCATTAAAAACATGGAACTTTTGTCTCTGAAAAAAAAAAAAAAAAAAAAAAGGTTTCCTGAGGTTTCTAAAGGTCTCCCAGCAGGAATGTTGCTTGGTTCCATTTCCCCTCCAGTTGAGCAGACCCCCAAGTGAGCCCATTAGGAAAAACGGACTTGCTGGAAAATAAAATTCCCCAAAATATGCAACAGCAGCAGCAGCAGCAGCAGCTCTGAAATGTGAGGCTCCAGTAGGCAACAAACTATGTTTGCAAAGCTCCTCTTTGATGGCAGTTTAATGTGTTGGGGAAGGAAGGAGATAATGGCACAAGGGGGACTGTGGGTGCTCGGCACCTACAGCAATAGCTGGGAGGGGAGGCAGTAAAGGGGATGGAATGGGAGGCCTGGGATAACTTCATTGTTATTCCAGGGACAGAAATGCATCTTTGAAAAGCAGAGTTAATGAAGCCCAGCTGCCAAACTCTGCCTGTCACACAGCCCTCTCCTCTCCCTCCTGAAGCCTGATGTCTGAAAGCTGCTGAGATTGTCAGTCCGTCCTTCAAGGGGGTGGCTCCAGGAGTTGCTTAGAATTTTTATTTGAGTTTGACTGTTAAGAATCCAACAGGCTGTGAATAAGAGCTCTGCTGGCCTGGAAAAATGAACCCTGAATGGAGGGATTCAGGCTGCGGTCCTGCTGCTGCCTAAGAGAAATTGTTTGCATCCAGGGGGATATTTGCAATCTGCCCTGGACAGAACCTCCCACGTAGTCACTGGGAGGGAGAGACAGTGAGAACAAACCCCAGACCTGGGATTTCAGCTCTCCTCAAGTTTAAATCACCATTTTTTGAGAAAATTAATGTTTTAGTGTTTGCTTTAGTGACTCTGTTATCAGGGACACCTCAGAGATCTTAGAATCATAGGAAGGTGTGG